TCCGTATCGCAATATTCAGGGATATGTCGTATCAAATTCAGAATTCTGGTATTGTGACAACACTACTGTGAAGTGAGATCCAGTTGACTGTTGGTCACTAACCTTTGCACAGATGCTGGCCGCACTGACGATGGGGAAGAGGGAGTCGGCCTTTGGCCTCACAGTCACTTTGATACCTGGGAACAGCTTCGAGAGTTTCTCCTCATACTTCTCTGCTGGGCCGACTGTGTCTACAAATACCTGCAGGAAACCAGGTGGAGGTGGGCAGGCCAAGTAAGAAAGGACAGAGCAAAGTAAAAAAGACAAATGAGTGAAAATGAGAATATGTTGTCAAATGATGAATGTTTCCATCTTGGATCAGTTGTATGTATTCAGAACTTACAAATGCAGCACTATACAGTACATGAAGAGCATCCTTATATCCACAAGTTACTTGTGATCATACCTCTGTGAGCTGTACCCCGCTGTCCAAGGCATACTGTACTAGACCAATTGCTGTATCGTGTGAAAGGGCGTTCAGGTTGTATTTTGTCCTAACAAAAGCAGACATTTTGTCAGTGTGTGAACATAAAACACAGTTCTGAAAAAATAAGAAGTCCCTCTGTGTGTGATAATGTATGTGCCACATACCTCTGTAACATGCTGGTAGAGATAGTGTTTGGTGAGAGAATCTGCAGAGCCCAGCCTATATAACTTTTGGCTTCATCCAGTTTTTGGAAAAGATTCTCTCTTTCTGCCTCTGTTAGAGTCTTTGAATCTGATGAAGAAGTGACATAATGCATCAAGAGATGTTGCATTGCTTATTTTGCTTACTTGTTTTATGATCGTATTTTTAACTTATTGGACAAAGGAGAAGATGGCAAACTTCACATTTCTTCAGTAAGATGACATTGAGGATGAATATAAAGTATCACACTGTGCAACATCCTTCTAAAGGGCAATCTGCAGAGATGTAGACCAGCTGTATTACCTGCCACTTTCGATTCCTTCAGCTCCTCCTTTTTGGAAACTGGACAGAAACATATTCCATACACCATGGGCCCTGGATCAAAAAACAATGAACACTAAGTATGGATACCACAGTACAGTGGGTGCTAAAACAAATGGGAAATACATTCAAATCATGGCAGATGGTAAATCAAAACATTATCTCCATGATTAAATCTGAAGGACTGCAACAGAAGACGTAAGGTTGCAGTCTTATTAAATCACAGTAAGGTTTAGATTTATGGAAACATAAGACAACAGCATACCCAGCACAGGCCCCCTGCCCGCCTCGTCAATGCCCAGACAGCAGTCCTCAGTCCGGCAGACCTCAGGGATCTGAGAGGCCAGTCTGCAGCTGACAGAGTTGTCTGTTTCAAAGGGGCTGAGGTCCATGACAGCAGGCTGAGAGAGAACACTAGTTACATATTTATTTCATCATGTTCAAGTCTTACTCAATGTACAACTCTACCTCCTGACAACCTGCCATGCTAGCTACAGACAGATACACAGGTTTAAAGTTATTATGCTGCAAACGAAGACAAACGTTAGCTGACAGCTAACTAACGTTACTCAAACTGACATTTTCTACCAGAAACGTCGTCTGTTTACAAGTTTACAAGTACTTTAGACTCGTCAAAGAAACCCCTACAGTAACACACACCATGATACACGTTAACAGAGCTAATTTTTACCTATTTAAACGGTGACTGCACTTATAATGAACTTCGTGTTGTTTTCTGTCTGCGGCAGACTTGGCGCCTCTAGAATGACGTCACACACTTCTTCTTCGTCTTAATTTCTGGTTTGTTACCGCCACCAGTTGGCCTGGAGTGCCAAAAGTAACAGGTCAAAGTCATCTAAAACAGTGAAGGTTACATACCGGTAAGTGTTATCAGCAAAATATAATACCAGAGGTCAAATTACAACTAATTTCCCCTTTGAGAGTCTGATATTTTATATATTATATTGTTTAATTGCAAATTAGACTTTTTACATGTAAACGGAATGTTGTTAGAAATAGTAGAAAGTGAGCTAAATTCAACTAGGCCTGTTTTATGTGGGCCTGCTGATGATTGGAGAACACTTAACAGTGCATCATATTTTAAAAGATGACCTTTTGATTCTTAATCTGCAAAGCAACTACAGCTGTGAAATGAATATAGTGGAGTAGATCTTAGCCTACAATAAATAAATCCTAAATGTAGAGTAGGCCTAGAAGTAAAGTAGGATGAAGTACAGAGAATTTTACCTAAAAGTGATTTTATAGGGGCGTCGGTGGCTTAGTGGTAGAGCAGGCGCCCCATGTACAAGGCTGTTGCCACAGAGGCCCGGGCTCAACTCCAGCCTGTGGCCCCTTCACTGCATGTCTCTCTCTCTCCCCCCTTCACGCTTATCTGTCCTATCAATTAAAGGCTTAAAAATGCAAAAAAAAAATCTTAAAAAAAAGTGATTGTATAAATGTAATAATTACTTTCTATCAACAGAAATCCAAACAGCTGCTTTAATTTCAAACAAACAGCAACCCTTATGTTTAGCTTAGCTAAAGCCTTTCAATTTATCTTTATTTTTTGTGTTGTGTTTATTTATTAAGGACACATCATGTTAATTCAGTGGTCCTCAAACAGGTCCTAGTCCTCAGGGGAGTTTCAGAAGGTTCCCATAAAGTGGGGAATAGTGTCTTTTCACTATTTAATTCATGTCTGAAGTGAGCCCAGTGTTAGTAACAGTCATAAGAGTAACTGTTCTGATTGGTTTTACTTCCTCCGAGCCGTGGTTAAGTCCTCAGTGTTGTTGACAGCAATAGAGTTCTCATCTTAATCATATCTTACAACCAAAATCTTATCAGATGGATGTCCCTAAAGCAAAATCTTATCAGATGGAGGCTCATGACCTAATTTGTATCAGTTAAGGGGGCTTGACATGAAAAAGGTTGAGATCCACTGTATTAATTAGCATTAGCCAAAATGTTTTTTGGCTAATGCTGACAAATTTTTTGCCATCTCTTGTCATATATGTTAAATGGTCATATCTGGAAAGACAAAAAGTGTTTCATATTAACTAGTCTGACTTACAGGATGTAGACTATGGATATACACTATGCTATTCCAGCATTCTCCTGTCCCTCTGCTATCTGTGTCAGAGGTGTAAATATAGACAGTGCAGGCAGTGCGATTGCACTGGGGCCCCTGGGGTGGAGAAGCCCGTAGAGAGAGCAGGTCCTTGCAAGTAATTCAGGTAGCCACCTTGGAAATATACCTGTTTTCAAAGTAAATGATAAAAAAAGAATATTATTAATTAAAACTTGGTGCCATTTGCTATGTATGTCCTCAAAAAGGCAAACCCATGCATCATTTCTTAAATGGTCAACTGTTTAGAACAAAATGACATGCTTTTTCTATATAAGTATAAAATCTATAGTTATACTATAAAATGATTCAATTAAATGATTAATTTCTTACTTTCTTCAATATTTTTGTCAGATATGAAATGATTGCTGGGTAATATGTATGCTGATATTGTCCAGTGTCAAGTCTCTGTTTGTGTCAATTCAAAATATACACGATAGCATGCAGGCCCGTCATAATAGTGTGAACTGGGGCCCGTTGTAACTTCCTTACACCACTAATCAGCGTGCTGTCATTTTGCAGGGGCACCATCACAGCATCCTGGGCATCGCACAGCCTGTGAACATTGTGATTGGACTAAAGAAAAACAGAGTGTTTCTCTGCTATCCTAAAATAATAATGGGTGTTTCCAGAGTGCTGTTGAGATAGGCAGATTTCCCCTTATGGGGTAAATATTTACCAGGGACCCAAATTGACGTCTTCTAGGCTTTGCCTCAAGGCTCTTCACATTTAAGCTGATGTTGTCCTTGATGATGCACAAGTACTCAAATTACCACAAATCAGGTAACAAACAGTGAATGAGGATGCTCAGCTGGTAGTTCAGCCCTGAAAACAGATAAAAAAATAAATATGTACTTTTTTGTAACATAGGTTTCTGTGTATCTTCAGTGCTTTTTGCTGCCTTGTTAACTACTATTGAGATTCCCCAGATTCAAAACCCTGAGAGCCAATATAAATTGTCACAGATCAGTAAGGTTTATTTTCAGTGTAAGCATTTATACATTTTCCATTCTCAAATATTTTCTGACTTTTATTATCAGAAAGATAAGCCTGAGGCTGGAACAACAGCTGTTGAAGTTTTGTCCTGTTAGTTTCCCCTCCAACCCCATTATCTTTTATTCTTTTCATGCTCACAGTATGATTGATTGAATCGATCTGAGTTCTCTGAGTGTCATAAACCAACTGTAGTTTATGTAATTTATGGTGAAAAATGAACCTCTTCCCCCTGCTTTGGACTGCTCTGTGAATTACCTTCCCTTTTCTACCAAATGAATTCTGAATCAAAATTTAAATCTCTCACTCCTCATTCTGGATATATTTTTGCTAAAGACCACCATAGCTGTCATCACCCTTGTTTTACATCTCCCTCATACACAATCTTACTCCAATTAACTTAACATTTTGATTTCAGATGCCTGACTGAATGGGTTTGAACTGCAGCTGTATGTGGAGGCAGGGAGGGAGCCTCAGGTGGAGAGGAGAAGGCAGAGTGAAAGGAAAGCCATGTACAAAAGTCCAAGTGTACGCTGGTTACTGAGCTGAAATTGGCCTTGCCTTTGGCTCTTTACACCCACCCCTTCTCTCTCCTTCTGTCCCTCTCCCTCGCTGAATGGCTCCCTTTGTCTTTCCCAGTAACACGCAGTCCCCAGCCGATTAAATGTGGGGAATTAGTAGTCAATTTTAGCCTACCACACACACAAACACACTAAACAGCTTAGGTTGGTGGGGCACTGATTGTGTTGTTATTACAGTTCACACGTCAGCAGCATGTTTTTAATTTCTTTTTTTTCACCCCTCACTTGCTCACCGCTCCATGTGTTATCTCTGAACCATCACTGCTGCATAAAATAACGCTCTTACACATGATTTTTTTTTATAAATAAATTGATTTAATAGATGACAACAATAAAATTTCAACATTGCTTTTCTTGTATGGAAGCAAAATACTCAAGTGAATGTATAGCAAACACTTTACAAAACTATCCAGAATTATACAAAATGGAAGAAGCAAAGGTGTGACACACAATGCATTATTACTTACATAAAAAATAATAACTACATGGTAAGAGGGTCAGTATAAAATGATAAAGAATGCATCACATCATAAAGGTGAAGCCTGTGGTAATGACCATTATTCACATTGCTGAGGAGGAAGAGGGCAATTTGGGTACAATATAGGACAAACTGCAAAGACGAAAACATGCTTTTGGCCCACATGCAGTGCAGAGCGGTCGTACATGTGATTCTAATCCTTAAGCAGGACCCGAAGCTGGCCAATTATCTGAAAAGATTTGGTTGAGACTTTGTACTTATAGATTTTAACTCAGTTATTGGAAAAAAAAATCAGATGCGAATCAGCAAAATGTTAGGCACTCAAAAAGCAAAAAGGAAGACTGAAGCGGAGGTTTCTGAAAGTCTGAATACCTTTATCATTATTTGATCAGGTATCCAGTGTCGTATTTTTCCTTTGCTATTGGCACAAAATTTACAGAGTTGAGGTAAGTGTCCAAAACTGAGCGTCAAGCTAAAATACATCTTTAAGAGCTTCCTTTCCCTCTCTTTTTCCTTTTTTTTCCCCTTAAATGCTTAATTCTTCAGTTCAGTGAAGTCAGAAATTCAGAGTGTACTATCATGAAAAAAAAAAGGTTGCAACTATCCTTTTCTGGCCACAAAAGAACAACCCCAGGGAATATCTTATTGAAACAAAATATGCTTTTCCCAAAGCAGTGGTGCAGATGTATTAGTGTAATATCAAATCAGTCACAATAAAGTTACACCCTAGGATATCAACAACAACAATAAACTTACTACACATATAAAATAACACAATAACATCAAAAACATCTGCTTTAGTTTGGTTAATAAAATCTGATTATGTCAGTCGAAACCCATCGTTTCCAGGTCAAATCAGAGTCACTCATCAATGCATCGTCTGTTCACTCTCAGCGTCTCACTTGTCTACTTCTTGTATACAAACTTACTGTACATCCCGACTTATAAAATTTATGATGGCACACATTTGTTAAGGTTTATTTAATTTTTGATTGGCAGTTCACCCATGATTCACACTTTATATTGTGTGAGTTTGTGGCTGTTTTTTAAACTGTGTAAGGCCCCTGTGGATGCGTCTTGCATTATATTGGCTAAAAAAGTAAAAACCTCTAACATCAATATGGCACGGGCACACACACACACACACACACACACACACATGCACACACACATACACATTCACACACTCATATATTTGCACACCCACAGACAGATCCACTCACACACTTCCCATATTTCCCTCTGCTCAGCTGGTCTCCCTCAAGGTCTTGTGAGTGTGGTGTAAACAGGCTGCTCCCAGTGTGTGGGGCTGTGAGAGGGGGCCACGCTGGAGGGGTCTCCTATGGTAGTGTACAGAGGCCTCTGTGTAGGGCCCATGTAGGAGAAGGCTGAGTACAGCCCCGGGGCCTGGCTGGAGTGGGCATAGTATGCCCCGGGGGCCTGGTGCTCTCCGTACTCAAACTGAGCCCTGGAGGCCAGCGAGGGGAAAGCAGAGCCATAATGAGGGAGGCTGAGCGGGGTGTAGGTGACATGGGTGCCTGAAGAGGGAGAGGACGAGGCCTCGGCGTAGTGGCTCCCGGCCGCTGACTCGCTCTTGATCTGGGCCTTGGAGGGGTCGGAGGAAGACGGAGAGGCCTGAGGCTGCTGCTGTTGTTTGGAGAGCCATGCTGAGTGGCCACTGGCAGCAGCCAGGGCATAGGCGTAAGATGAAGCTGAGGATCCAGCCGTAGGGGCACCGGTTCCACTCTGCGGGTGGCCATTTGGCGGAAGGTATTGGTCGAACTCGTTTACGTCAAACGGTTCAATGTTGGACATCACCTCGTGGCTTATCTCGCCAATGTCCATGGTGCCAAAGTCGATGTGGGGTTTAGCGCTCGAAGATGATGGACCACCAGATGCCCCTTCAGCCCCCACCCCAAGAGCTCCCCTGGACCCCCCTGATCCTCCGGCCGCTCCTGCTGCCCCCTCCCTCTTGGCATCTGACAGTTTCCCAGACTGGAGTTCTGTCTTTGGGGTGGTGGGGGGCGTGGGTGGGCTGTGACCCTGACCTAGAGGAAAGAGGAGAAGGAAGAGTATTGGTCAGGTGAACTCTGACGACAAAGTTTAATTGTCTCCTTTTATCAAACTTTGATTTAGATTAGATTTTATGTTATCAACCAAATATCTCTTGAAATATCAAAATGTAAATTGATTACTGTGTCCAAACTCCTACCAGCAGGATGGTGGTGGTGATGGTGGTGGTGGTGCAGGTCACCCAGGGGAGACCCAGCCCCACCGTTGTGCTCCAGATGCAGGGTCTTGTAGTGTGACTGGGAGTGGCTGGCCTCCCCTTCCCCCTGGCTGTCGGACTCATTAGCAGGCGCTAGTTTGCCGTTTTTGCGTCTCCGGGGCTGATACTTGTACTCCGGGTAGTCCTTCTTGTGCTGTTTCCTCAGCCTCTCCGCCTCCTCGATGAATGGCCTCTTGTCGCTTTCGTTCAGCAGCCTGGGGGGAGAAAAACAAGGGGGGGATTTTAGTCTTGCAGACCCCCTGGATTAATGTCAAAGTAATTTATTAGAATATGGCTGAAAATTAAAATATTGTCTCATTATACCCCGTGCGTAATGGATAAATGCCGGAAAAGAGGAGGGTAAGGCATTTAGGCTGGTATAAAGCCATTTAGTACACAGTATACATAATATAAATTAACACAACGTAAAAAAAAACAAAAAAAACAAGTTTATATTTTTGGTGTTTTTCTTGTGTGTAGTCAGCTAGTTAAGTTTATAATTTGCCCACTTTCTACATTTGAGTTCTGATCTTATCCCCCCGTCTCATTTACGCACAGGCGACACAGGAAATGTGCGACTGTGTGGCCACACTGTTCTTTTTTATGGAACAACCAGCCCATACAAACCTCCACAGTTTGCCCAAGGTCTTGCTGAGCTCCGCGTTGTGCAGGTGGGGGTACTGGTCGGCCAGTTTCCTCCTCGCCGCTTGCGCCCACACCATGAAGGCGTTCATGGGCCTCTTGACGTGGGGCTTAGCTTTGTTTCCGTTGTTAACGCGCACCGGCATAGGCACAAGTGTCCAGTCATATCCGTCCAGCACCTGACTGACCGCCTCCCTGATGCCGATCGGAAAGCGATCGTCCTCGATCTCTGATTTGGCTCTATCCCCTCCATCCTCCTCGCTCCCATCCGCGACACAGAGCGAGGTCAGCTGCTGCGGCGGCCCGGTCAGAGGTGAGTCCTGGCGGGTTGGCGCTCCGGGTTGAGTCGGTGACAGGGAGTGACCATCGTCTGACCCTCCCGGACTCAGTTCCGCCTCAGACAGGCTGTGCTCCTCACCGGACATTATTTATGTATTTGTTTTTACCTTGAACTAATGACAAGACAACCAACCAACTAATGCAAAACTTCTTTTTAAGGAGTCCAAACTATTCACTGGAGGCTAACTGATTGGTTCAAACTGAATAAGATGTCTGCGACGATCCCAGTTATTGCTGACTCTTCTCAGGCAAAGCCATAATGCTGCGTAAAAGTGTCCAAATCCTTTCCACCGTCGGCTGGAAATCCGTTTCAGCAAAACCAGTTACACCTGAAAACCATTTGAAGTATAATAAAAACAATTTAGTCCTAAAAAGTCCACACATGGGGAAAATATAATTTTAGTATTAATATGAATCAAACATAACCCGCTATATTCAGCTAAACACGGTGAAAGAGTTGGCGGATTAAATGTGTCCATATAACTACATCTCTAGCCAATAATAATAACAGCAATATTGATCATGCTATTTGGACCAAAGAACCGCATCCAAAAATATATTTTTTTTTATCAAAACCCATTAATACTAAACATCTTCCAATTAAGAATAAAATCCTATAACTGGCACATAAATACTAATATGAAATATTTTTCTTTTATCGTATGAATTTAGTTTTTAAAAAATTACATAACTTACCAATTTAGATGTCCAGTGGTTCAACATGGGAGTGTGTGTGGCTGACTGTAGAGCCGATGAATGGCTGCTCTGTGTGGCAACACCGGAGCTTAAAGAGCGCCTTGTGAGGAGGACTGGGAGAAAAAAAAAAGTGATTGAAAGTGGAAAACATTCCCAGAGAGGCAGCATTCCAGCACACAGTCAGCCCCGCCCCCTCGGCACAGCACCGCGCCCCGATTGGTCCTCTAATTATCCCGCTGCTCTCTGATTGGACGGCAGCAACTCACTGTTAATGCCCGTCTGTCCATCACTGCAACATTTCCAACAGAGAAGAGGTGAGATTTTTACATCGGAGTGGCTTAAATGACTCTACAGTGCGCCCATTTAGAGGCAGGAGAAGGCCAGCTTTGTTGGACGTGTTGACATGTTCTATCAAACAAATAAACAATCATGAGGAGAGTTATTGCCTCGTGTGGTCACGTTCCTCAAAAAAATCAAAAGTTCAGCCCTGATTTAACTGGAGTCCGTTTGATAGCTACAGGAAATAAAGCGTACATCTTTGAGTTATCATCTTTATAATAACAAATAAAATCTTTTAAAACATATCAGAGACAAAGTAGATGAACTGTAGCTGATTTTAAAAGAAAATGCAACAGATAAATAGTATAATAAATTAAGGAAAGCTTTGGTTAGTGATTAATAATGTCATAAAATCAATGATACTTAAATTTGGCATCGATATCTGATGAAAAGTTTTAAATTCATTTCATTACTTACTACAGTCACTACAAGCACAATAAATTAAATCATCAATTGATGCAACTTTTACAAAAGTCTTAATTAGAGAGGATATAATGGGTTCACCAAAAGTGGGTGACTTTATGGCAAATATGCTAGAGCTCCAGTATAACTATATTCACTCACAACCATTCAGTTTTTGTGAAATGTTACAGAAACAAAGCACGATGTAACATTTGACATCCTTGATGAGATGTCAACTACCCACTATATTTGGGGTGGATGTGGGGGACATGCCCCCCTCAATAATTAGAGCATGTGCATTTATTGTCCCCCCAAATGAAAACATGAAAGTAGCAGAGGACTTTTGACAAAATTAAACACATTTCCACCATAAATGGAAGCAAAAAGGCAAAAATTGATGCATGAAAATTCACTAATATGCAGGTAATTAAGTGTTCGATGCTCAATAGTTCCTGGGATCCAACCCCAACCCCTATATCATAGCCTATGGGCTCTGTGTGCCCCTCATTATTAAAACAAAACCTACACCCTTGCTACTATCTCTACATGACAGCTTTAACATCTTGAGCAATGATGTACATTATTAAATTAAAATGGAAGATCATGTGTGTGGCATTAAACATAGCCTACTTAAAGAGGTGTCCCACTTTACCTGAAAACACTGTTCACTGGACAGATACAAGACAAATAAAGATGACATGACATTGGCCAGAGACACCATTGCTTTATTAAAATATACAGTAGCCAATATTATGTCAAGTTAAATTATATTTACTTAAAAACTCATGTTTTTAGGTGCCTTAACACATGCCAATCAGTCTGTTTTAGTTATAACCACGCCCACAACGAGGATGTTCCATATACATAAATTATATTGGTTCCAGAGAGTCAAATGGCCAAACAATGTGTTGCTTAAATGTCCCACTTTTCCTGAACTCATTGACTTTAGTCTGTGTTTTAGAAATCAGCAGATAAACTTTAGACCTCATCAACTTTAACTTAAAGTTATTACATCATATCGGAAATGCAGATCGATGTGGAATTCTTTTATTCAGATCAAACCAGAATTAATTTATCAACGATTATATCTAATAGTCTAATCGAGCTGTTTTCTATATAACTGTAGGTTGGAGATTAAAAGATAAACTTTCTAAACAGTAAAATAACTCCTCCAGCCTGACTAAACATTGAGAATAATTTCTTAAAACAAATACATGTCACCTTTTCTTAAATGAAATGAATAAGAAATCTTTCCAACACTTTATAAATTGTCTTTCCCAATGTTTTTGTGCATAAAGGCTGCAGCAGTGAAAAGGTTGATCTGTGCTTGCAGGCCATGATTTGTGCCGATAAAGCATGGCGTGATGGGAAGGGAGAGAACCGACTTAGCAGCATCTGATGCGCACCCGGACACACACACACACACACACACACACACACACACATACACACGCTCAAAATGAATACAACAATAACCCCTGTGTGTCCGTTGCCTCTCATGTTGAGCCTGACTCTCGGTTTTCTCCCTCTCTCTCTCTCCTCTCTCTTTGCTCTCTTTGTCTCCATCTCAGGTGAATTGTAGCCATGTGATCAAACGCCCAAGCCTCTATCCATTAACCCTCGTAAATGAAAAAAATGGGGGAACAAAAAGCAGTTTTGTGCTGCAAACATGGAAAAAATTGATAACAGAGAGCGATGTGTGCGTCTTTCTCCCCTTATGTCCGAGCATAGACACCAGTCGCGCACACATAGAAAATACTCTGCAGCAGACGGGACACATGGAGCTCTCTCTGTTTCTGCCGCTGCGACACTTTTCTGTCTCTAAACACTCTCCAAAGCACCTGGATCTGGGCCTCGGAGGTGCTGATGGTAGGGGGGCTTGTGTTTGGAGATGATGGGGGTGATGGGTTGGTGGTGGAGGGGAGGGGGAGGTGGGGGACACCTCCATGCTGCACCCCAGCGAGCCAAGCAGCACCACTGGGATCCTGCATGAGGCCTCCGAGGCTTGTGAAGTGAGTGTTTTTGTCTGTGCTGTGGTCGGTACGAGGAGGATTGTTTGGCAGGAAAATGTGTTGGAAAATGTGCGTCGTTCTGCGGCTTGTTCACTAGGTTTCCAGAGACCAGAGGAAGCTGCGGTTTTACGGAGGGTGTTTAGATAGTGCAGCTGGATGTAAATGGCCCCCCAGGGAGTCTGTCAGACGGTGTCAGTGTCTGCACTGAGGAAATCAAGCGCAGAATTTAATCATTGAAATTGGCCATAAAATATTGGATTTAATCGTCAGGATGCTGAGTTAAAAACAGCCTCATATCATTCTTATATAACCTATGACATATTCGGCTACTCAGTAATAACTTTATCATAAGGCGTTAGGTCTTTATGTTGCTGTATGTGCCAGTGAAGTGACTTTGTAATGACTTTTACAATTCTGTGACATCATTATTATTATTATTATTATTATTATTATTATTATTATTATTATTATTATTATTATTCTTTTATATCACCTCACTTTGACTTAACAATAATTTATTTCTCGTAGTGGTTACTGCATTGTCGTTGTAAAATTTCTACTTAAAAGGCCATTTTATAGTTAAGCTTAAGGCGGTTCCGTTTCTTATTAAACAGTTTTGTTAGTTATTTTGGAAATTGCCGACAGAAAGTTTGTTTAAAAAAAAGATTTAGGAAGTTGGACTCCTACAGAATTATCTGAACATATTTTTTTCATGTTGAAAAGTATTTTAAGATAAAAGCAGTAATATGTAGCGGCTGTTTTATAATTAGCAGGGAAATACAATTTGTGTTCAGGACAAGTTTTCTATTTCATAGGCCTATGTAATTATGTGCGCTCAAAAAGCTGAATGATCAAGTGTTTGGAGCTGAGACAAATAAAACGGACTGCTTTGCTCCGACACACAAAAAACAAAATTAAAGCTGTATGAGATTTTCGTTTTATTATTTTTGCGTGTGTATTATTAGCTACAGTATAAATTAAGGTTATTAAAATCGGTAATAATGGAACAAACGGAGGAAAAGAAAGCAGCCATTAGAATATTGTCTAAACGAGATTTCCAGTGTTTAAGATAATAATGTCCTATCCATGTTTTTCTTAAATTCAGTGTGTTTTTTATACATTAAAATCATCGAATAAAATGTAACGAAAGAGGCAGACTTTCCAGTGGTGCCTTCACGGTCCGTTCTTTCAATCAGTTGTGATTTAAGTGTGTCACATAGGCCTCAAGAAGCTGCTTGACACTTATAATGTGCTCCCGTTGGGCTTTAATTTCTTTGCACTAAGACAATCTTGATTAATCTCTGACGATGTTTATTCTGATAAATACTGTATGTGGTTTTATGATTTTATTGTCACTCCGTCACTCCCTCCTTGTTTGCCTGCAGGTCTTTTGTTCTCCAGCTGGAGTTCAGCTGAGAATAGGCCTCAGTTTTCTCTAAATCAGCTGAATTGTGCCTCTAATTATCAGACATGTGTCTTCAAAATATTTGAATTTCAAATGACTTTATATTTTGTTTATACTTTTAAATTAGTGGTCTACATTTTTTTTCTACCATTTGTATTTTAGATATTCAGTGAAAACAATTTGACTCTGAGAAAAATGATGAACTTCAAGCTTGAAAGTTGAAAAAAGCAAATAGAGAAAAGTGGATTTCAAACTCCTTCAGTTTTCCCCAGAGTCTGCAGTGATGAGATGAGCACCCAGCACTGATTTAATATAGAGACATAATGAACTCATTTATTTATCTCATATCTTTGATAATCTCTGGACTACTTTTTGTCCTTGGGCATAGTTTAACGTCATAGGCTTCATGAGATTTTTCATTTACCTGATCTTTGAATATGCTGCACAAGTTTTAAAGAAATTTTTATTCTATCACTGAAGACTCCAAAAGATTTTTTTAAATGGTTAAATGCCACATCTGATAGTTTCCTTTTTTTTAAGGTAAGTAGCTAACTTGATTTATAGGAAATGAAACAACTCATGGATATTTCACCTATTACCCAAAGCTAATCAAAGAGATATCACCTGTTTTGTTTTTTCCTTTATGTATTTCATATTTACTGCTGAAACATTTGTAACCTTGCATTTGGCTTGGGATCTAAACATGCACTTTCAGACATTTTCTATGTCCTGTGTGAAACTATCATGGGCCCTCAGGGCAGCTGTAACTTGTTGGAAAATAGAGCTCACATGGTCGCATCAGTGTCTGCGCTAACCTGCCATGTGACTGCTGTAATGGGCCTTTCCATGGCTCCACAGACCACTGGGTCACAAGAAGCCCGTTTCCTGCGGCTCCTGGGAAAGAGCGGGGAGAGGATGGGAGGATGAGGTCTCATGATCAGCAAGGG